GGGGAGCATGTGCTATCAGAATAATGTTTTCAATCTTCATGAAATCTGAGGGCTGTTCACAGGCCCTGTGTGCGATAGGACCGCACACATGCTGTAATCTCCGCCCACTGCATCCCTACGTCATCCTTCAGTCACTGCACATAGTGTGGTTGGCCTACCCATCCCCTACCCCTGCACACACCGCACTCAGCAGCTTGCGGAACCCATGAACACCCCTCTGGGGTGTCTCCCATAGGCAAATACTTACCACTTAAACTTGAAAATTGTTGAATAGTGAAATGTATGTTATAAGGATTCCAAATGACAATTACTATGGATATAAGTCTTTCAAGTTTCAACTGCCACACCCTCCAAAGTGAGAGATTCTGTTTCAGCTGACAAGTGGCAACAGTCTGAGGGATTCTTTGTATTTCCCTTTTAAAAGATCAAGCATTTGCCATTGCTGAATGTTTCCTGGTATTAATTAACGGAAGTTTTGGCTTCTTTCCTTTGAGGTTTAATAATATGCATTCAGTTGAAAGAGGAACTGATGCTTTTAGGCCTGCCCATTTATATTAAATCAGTAGGCATTCATTTTTAGTAGAGGGCTATTATTTCCCTATCAAGCACCATCTGTTCCTGTCTTTGCAGTGGTATTACTGCTCGGCGTGGTCACAGCCGGCCAGTGCCTCTACACATCCAGGGATGATGTTGTCGAGCTGACACCAAGCAACTTCAACAGAGAAGTCATCGACAGTGACAGCATCTGGATTGTGGAGTTTTATGCACCATGGTGTGGTCACTGCAAAAACCTGGTGCCAGAGTACAAAAAGGCTGCCACTGCACTAAAGGTAGGTCCATCTTTCAGCATTTAGTGTCTACTGAATATCACATCTTTGCAGTGAAATGTTATACTTAACTTTGTTATATTTTGTTTGATAGAAAAATCCGTGAATTATTGACTGCTATGTAGACTGATTTTTTCCTTTTATTTAGTGCCATCCAAATGCTCAAAATGGTGGCTGTCCTGGCAGTGAAACTGTGTGTGCCAGTCGGTCTGAGTTGGAGTGTTTGGCATGACTGCCTATTTCAGATTGTCTGCCTGACAACCCATCTCTAACAAACATCCTTTTGCGCCTGCTCGTCCTTTGACTGCCTCGTCTCTGACTACCCATTCGTCTGACGGTCCGACCGGTCCGACGGCCGTCTCCGAGTCTCCGACCATTAGCCCCTGATCCCCCCTCCTCCTTGGACTGTGGGCTTCTGTCGCTGACCTCCAGCCTGTGTGACCGTCCTTCCCGTCCCTGACCGCCCCCCAGTCTGTGACCGCCGCCGTCTGACCTCCCACGGTCCGCAGGGCGTGGTGAAAGTCGGCGCCGTGGACGCCGACCAGCACCAGTCGCTGGCCGGACAGTTCGGCGTGCGCGGCTTCCCCACCATCAAGGTGTTCGGCGCCAACAAGAAGAAGCCCGAGGATTACAACGGGGCGCGCTCAGCCCAGGGGCTGACGGAGGCCGGTCTGCGCGCCGCCAAGGACATGGTGAACGCGCGCATCGGCGGGAAGGTGAGACCGAGGGCGGATAGGCAGGACTGCGCCACTGATCAGTGAATTATTCGGGGACTGTTAAGGTGGACTGTTACGGTATTGGAAAAGATTAGGGATGTTTCATGGGAACTGGTTTATTTCTGAATGAATTGAATTTAGGCGGGCAAAACAAATCTGTTTTGCCTAATCGTTTTTGGAAGGCCGTGGAAGTATCGAAGTATTGGAAGTATCGTGCGATTAGTTCGAAAACTGCGAGATTTTATGGCGAATCGGTTCAGTTGGCGTTATGTTAGGTTTACTTTTTGGTTTTAACTGGCAATGATACAGGTGCCTTACATCTTGAGCAAGAGCATGCCGTTTTTATGGCCCAGAAAATAATCTGGTCAGCACAAGAAACGTTGTCCACTGAGACATTCAGCACAGACTGAGCACACATATGTCCTTTCCCCTCAGTCGAGTGGCGGTGGTAGCGGTGGCGGCGGCGGCGGCGGCGGCGGCAGTGACAAAGACGTGATCGAGCTGACGGACAGCAACTTCGACAAGATGGTGATCGAGTCGGACGATATCTGGCTGGTGGAGTTCTTCGCGCCCTGGTGCGGCCACTGCAAGAACCTGGCGCCGCACTGGGCAGAGGCCGCCACCCGGCTCAAGGGCAAGGTCCGTGCCAGGGGCTTCAGAGCGGGACTGTCTGGGGAGGGGGGTTACATAATTGATCTGTGGGTCTCTGTACCAGGGAATAGGGATGTAGACGTCAGTCATCGTCGTTGTGCATTTTCAGACCTGATTTGCAATGGTCAATTGTCATTATTTTGTAATCACCCATCTGTTTATCTCTTCTCCGCTTGACTGGTGCGGTGAACGTGTCATAATAAACATTTGGTGGATGTCTAGACAGACAGCAGGGCGCCGAGCACCCATGTTCACCCCCGTGTCGTCCCCGTATCCCGTCCCTCACCAGTTCACGTCCCGCCGCAGGTGAAGCTGGGAGCGCTGGACGCCACCGCTCACCAGTCCAAGGCCAGCGAGTACGGTGTGCGCGGATACCCCACCATCAAGTTCTTCGGCGCCGGCTCCAAGAGCCGCGGCAGCGCCGACGAGTACGACGGCGGCAGGACGGCGGACGACATCGTCCGCTGGGCAGAGGAGAAGGCGGTCGCCTCGCTGCCGCCACCAGAGATCAAACAGGTGCGTGGGGAGGGGGAGAGGGAGAGGGAGGGAGATGGTAGTGCTGTTGTTTTCCAGGGGATTATTGTATTTACGAGGCGTGAAGTTAAGGGGGTATCATTGCCACGTTTGGTTAGGGAGGACTGATTGACTTTGGTTGCAGCGTTGCAGATTGTGCTGCATTGTGCTGCAGGCTGATCACGTGGTAGGTTGATCACGTCTTCCAATGTGCTGCGCTGGGTGAGTGTTACCTGACGCCCCTCGCTCCCCGGCAGATCACGTCAGACAAGGTGCTGAAGGAGGCCTGCGAGGAGCACGGACTGTGCGTGATCGCCTTCCTGCCGCACATCCTCGACTGCCAGTCCGAGTGTCGTAACGGCCACCTGTCCGACCTGGGACGGCTCGGCGACCGCTTCAAACAGAAGCAGTGGGGCTGGCTGTGGTCGGAGGCGGTCGCGCAGCCCGAGCTCGAGACGGCCGTCGATATCGGCGGCTTCGGCTACCCGGCCATGGTGGTGGTGAACAAGAAGAAGGGCTCGTTCGCCACGCTGCGCGGACCGTTCAACTTTGACGGCATCAACGAGTTCCTGCGGGAGCTGTCGTACGGCCGCGGCTCGACGAGCGCCATCCGCGGCGCCACGCTGCCGGCCGCCGCCGACGTGCCCGCCTGGGACGGAAAGGACGGAGAGTTGCCGGAGGAGGAGGACATTGACCTCAGCGACGTCGAGCTCGACGACCTGCCCGAGAAGAAGGACGAGCTCTAGGCGGCAGGCGAGGGCGTGAGCGCCACGGACAGACACTGGGCGCCGGGGACACGCACTGACGAGTGGGGGCACGGAACGGACCGACAATCCCAGACGCCTCGCGATAGTGGCGGGTTCTGAGTGGGGACGCGCAGGGGTGCAAACAAGGGGCGCGAGCTGTCGACAGACTGATGCTCAAGGGCGGAGCGCCCCCTGCATCCGACTCCTTCCCAGTGGGCTCTTCCCATCGAGAACGACACTCGGCGCGCACGAGCAACTCACAAAAACATTGTCTCTTTTCGTGCTGTGCATTTTGTTTAGTTATGTGTTGAATTAGTTTTCAACTAAACCATGGCCATTAACTGACATGGCGCGGAGCTGTGGACGGCTTGTTAACGGTTAGAGGTGATAATGCATTCCATTGTGATAACTTTTCTGAACTAAAATTCGCCGGTACGTCATGCTACAAATACAGTCAGCCGGGGAAAGACCGCCTGTTTTGCTGAGTCGTTAGCTGATTGGTTTCATAATGACCACATGCCGGCGGTAGTGTCGTTTCTGAACCATCGCCGGTTGGAGCGACGGCTGGAGTCCTGTGTAGATAAGTACAGAGGCAGCCACTGGCACATTCATCACCAATCCGGTTCTCGTTTTGCAGGCGGGTCGAAATGAATCAGAAATCTGGGCATCGTTTCATAAAGCTAGTCCGTAACTTACGCCGGCTTTTGGTCTTGTATTGTAAGTGCATGTGAAGCGATGATAGAATGAAACGTTGAATTTATTTATCTTGCAAGCAAGAACAGGAGAGAGAGGGGAAATAAATTTATCGGTTCACATGCGCTTGCAATACAAGCCCAAAAACCGGCGTACTAGTTACGGACTCGCTTTATGAAACGAGGCCCTAGTTACATTCATAAACCGGCAGTCTCCAAGCAGGCTCGTCCGTCATGAAGGGTCTCAGACTAGGTGCGGTCCGGATCATTACAGACGGTCGACGGCATCCCGTTCCGATTCGTTTACAGACGACTCGGGACCCCTTCCTGCATCCGCCTCTGGCACGGCCACTACTGCTGCTGAGATTTTCACGGAAATCATGCGCTTGTATCCATGCAGATTGTCAAGACGATTGGCCAGCACCCGGAAGGAAAAAGCGCTATAAATCGGGAACCCGTTTAGTCGGCACTCTTGCATCGGGGTTTAGATGCCAGCCAAGGCGACAATAACGGAATCGTTCCCGTTTTCATCCTTCACGGCCAGATGGCCAGTTACAATCCACGCTGTACCGCAGGGCACTCAATGCTTGAGCCGACGCTAGGCCGGGACAGATTTTGCCGTGAACTTTGCCGTGACTACATTGAACGTTCCAACGAATACAAGTCGGGTCACAGAACAGTTGCGTCACAGTATCAACCTAATCATGCTTTGTGTTTGTGACTGCTTTGACTGCCCAATAAGCGGCGTTTTTTTCACTCCCAGAGAGGAGCGATCAGCGCCGACCCCGAGCGAGCGGCGCCATACCTGAAGGACCGCTGCCAACCCTGAAAATCGCCGGCGGCAGAAACTCGGGGTTTAAAAGACCGTTTATTGGTTCCTGCCACATCACAGTCGGCTGCACGGCTGATGCCGCGGAATAATCGCTCCGCGGGCCGGCACAGCGCGTCTCATCGCCGCACCCCAGGCCCGCGAGGGTCCTGTCCCGAGCGACCAGCGGGCACAGACGGCACTGGAATGGCCTTCAGGGCACTACGATAACACCGCACAGGCAACTATTATGGCTACATTGTCATGCGCATATTGCACCGCTATAAAAATAGATGCAATATTTGGGCGACATACGACCCTTGGAAGGGTGCAACGGGTGGGGAAAGACAAAGCAGAGTAACAATATTATGAGAACAATCGGTTTTGGTTTCATCGCGGCAATGGTGGATTTGTTTCTCGCTGCCAGGCGCATAAACTTGCCACGTCTTCATACAGGTCAGAGACGGTTGAAAATCGCGTCCCACTTTTGGATGAGCACATTCTCCTAAAGAGAGATAAACGATTATGTTCTCTTCCAGTTCAGTAAAGCTGCTGGTCACCAGTCAGATTGGCCCTACAGTGGTGCCACGTTGCACTGGAGTCTCCGTTAACGTCCAGCTCACGGCAGCTGTTGGCAATATCAGGCACGGTCACGACCCACTCGTTACAACACAGTAGACCGGCGTCGAAAGCACAGAGCTAAAACCAGCTGCCGCCAGGCGGGCGCGCCGGGCCAGGTCGGCGCGGGCAGCTGAGGCCCAGCTGAGGCACAGAGCTAAAACCAGCTGCCGCCCAGGCGGGCGCGCCGGGCCAGGTCCGGGCGGGCAGCTGAGGCCCAGCTGAGGCACAGAGCTAAAACCAGCTGCCGCCCAGGCGGGCGCGCCGGGCCAGGTCCGGGCGGGCAGCGGAGGCCCTCCCGTCAGACGGTCAGCCCCAGATCAGGCGGCCAGCAGACACCCCAGTCACTCCCACAGCCAGCTCAGTCATCGGAGCACGCACACAGACGACATCGCTCAATCCCCCACGCAGTACAATGGCTCTCTGGGTATTCCAGACCCCTTCACTCAGATCTCTGTCGTCAACGGTTCACCTTTCGAGGCAATCTAGCGGGGCGGTTCGCAAATAAGTCGGCCCTATCCTCACTCACTCATTGACACTCGCACTCACATTTCGTCCTCTTAGCTGCTGCCAGGAACAATTTAGTGACACTTCCCGGCGCCATCTCTGTGAGGGAAATGTGCCGGTTTGATGGCCTAGTGGTCAGCTGTCCCCCACAGCACTGGCCGCGTCTCCTCCCCCACTAGTCTACACACAGCGTCTCCGGACCCAGTGCAGTATGTTGTCGGCCGCAGCCGGGACCAGCCGCCCCGGTCCGCGGTCCGCCCGGTCTCCGGCGGCAGACTGGCGGCGCGCCGAGCGGCCGGCCGCTCACGGGCGCTGCTGGTCCGAGCAGGAGAGGTCGAGCGGCCGCGGCGGCGGCTGGTCCAGCTGCAGCACCTGGTGCCACAGGTCCCGCACCACCTCAGCCAGACCGGTGGCCATCTGGTTGGCGGTGTACGGCATGCCCAGCGGCGGCACGTGCACGAACACAGTGCGCGCCGGGTCCTGCGCCAGAGACATAAAGTAGATGAAGCCGCACAGGTAGTTTCCCGGGTCGTCGGAGACGGTGGCGTCGATAGCGGACGCGCTGCCGCCGATAGCGCGGCAGGTGCGCGCCAGGTCGAGCCGGCAGCAGAGCGTGCTCGGCTGACCCGACAGGCAGCGCTGCTCGGGCGGTGTCTGCTGCAGCACGTCGCCGCGACAATACGGACCGTTGTGCGCCACGCGCTCCAGCTGCAGCGTCATCGTGTACGAAGACACGCCCACGTGCACCACCAGCCGCGGCCGCAGCTGCTTCCAGCGCCGAGGGATCTCGCGCATCACGTACTCGTATTTGACCGGCACCTGCATGGGAAAGACGGCGATATTTTGGTACGAGCAGTGACTGGTTAAAACGAAACGCTACAGCGGTGGCCGGTGGGAAACACTCGAGGCTCAAATACAATATGTGCCAAAGGGTTATCAAAATAAACAGAGAGAATCTGAAACTTGATTTAAAATGTTGTCTTTTAAAACGCCAATGCACTGTTATGAAAACAAAAGCAGCAAATTAACAAAAACAATGATCGCTCTACCACAACCCACGAGACATTCTGGTCTGTCGTATCTACCCCTCTCACCTCTTCGATGATGAGTTTGGCGCCGAGCTGTTCGCCCACGCCCATGGAGTGCAGTCGGCTCACGGCCTGCCAGCTGGCGTTCACCTCGTGGTGGCCGAACGGGCCGAACCCCGTCACGAAGATGACGTCGTCGGGGCCCGGCTCGCGCGTCACGGAGAGCGGGTGTCGCGGCACCGCGCCGGTGGCGGCCGACTTGGGCGGCAGCGCTGCCGTCTGCGCGGCCGGCGAGCTCGGTGACAGCTTGTGGGTGTCGCCGTCGGTGTGGGGTGAGCCCGCGGGCGGCGTCGTGTTGCCGGCCGGCGGCGGGCTCGGCTCGGCCGGCGACTCTGGGCCGCTGCTGTCAGTGGCCGCCTGCTGACTAGTCTGCTCCAGAGCCACCGAGAGGTCCATGCTGGCCAGCAGCTGAAAACACAACACTCAGGTCAAACAGAATTTGCAGAGCCACTGCAGAACCCATGCTGAATCTTTCCTGCTGAATGGATTACCTTTTTGAACATAGAAAGGTATGAAATAAGCAATAGATATAAATTATTACATGAAACACCATTGGTACCATAAACACTTGTCACCATCTGTATTCATGCCCAGCCAGCACCTTTTCTTCAAGAATGAGAAATCAATGTCAGTGCACTGATATCTATTTTGTCAACTCTAGAGCCAGCATACAGAGATTCCCCTCAGAAATATTCTAGTAATGACCCAAAAGCAGCTCTCCTCCAATCTTATTGAAGCCAAAGCCCCTCTCAGATTTCTTGGGAGCAGTAGCAGAAAGAAACCCAATGTCAATGCCATTGTTTTATTACTGGTTTGAGGTTTACAAGCAAGACATTGCTTATATTAATTTAAAACAATTAATCATAGTTACTAGGCAAAGTGCAAAATGAGCATGTCAATGGACAATGCTTTTGCAGTAGTAAACTATGTTCCAAAAAAAATCAATATCTTGAGAGTTGACACTTGTACACTCATATTCAGCAGACATTTCAACTTGACCTGATGCCATTAAGTAAGGCCCTCCAGGGTATTATGCAGTTGGTTGCCAGCATCACAATAAATGATCTGCATTGATAAATGATTAATATTGAATATGTATTAGGGTTGTTGAAAACCGTTGCTTCGGTGTCCACACAAACCCACTTCTCATTTCTGTTGCCATTTTACAGCTGGAAGTGGAGTGTGTGTCTGTGTGTCTCTCATTCAAAGTTATTGTACTAAAAACAAAATAGCTGAACAGCCACTCTTTAGCTGGATGGCTGTACCCAAGGCCTAAATAAGGAAATTTAGAAGAAAAAAAACATAAAAAACAACCAAAACCAGTTTGTTTACCTGATGAAGAATAGTGAAATTTTGCACTCGAATTAAACCAAAAACAATGCAGTAAAAGTAAGTGAGTGTTAAAAAAGCCCAGCTTATCAGGTTTTGAGCAAAATTATAATCATGGCCGAGAAAAATACGAGTCACAAACCAATAAAAACACGAAAAATCACGGTATGTCCAAGGCTATAGAACTCCAGGTAAGGACACCAGCCGTTTGACCTTGAACGCCGCCGGCCGGCCGATGACGTCATTGGAGGCAAGCCGGCTCGGCGGACACATAGGGCGAATGCATAACAGAGGGGCGTTGGAACGCGGCGGGAGCGGGGGAGATATTTTGATGTGGTTGCATACCACCATTGTTATGTTGATTGATCTACAGACTGCATTCTTTTAAACCTCGATGCATCCTAGGCCCATGGATGGTGCGCACATTGTAGAAAGATCACCCCGTCCGAACACATGTTGTAGGTACTCATGGGCGTATAACCATCAGAGGTAATGCCTGAACGTACTATGCGTTTCAGACCCTGTGGAACAGTCCTTTTCGGCTATTTCTCGTTGTATATGCGTTTGATTTTAACCAAACTTTGGCATTGGTAGTTTGAGATCCCTACCTAATTTTTATCAATATGGTCTATTAACGAAAAATGAAAAATAAAGGCACTTGTCATTGACTGATAATGTTAAGGTCGTCAGAGCCCTGCTTAGAGGCTGACACAGGCTGGACGCTGTCTCCCCTCTGATTGGTCGAGACGCACTAGCACACTGCGGCTTGGCTCCGCCCACTTGCGGTCCAGCCTCGGGTCATGTCGGCGGCAGTCGCAGTCCGGCCGGCCGGCGTGCGGGCCGCGCACGCAGCGGAGTGGAGCACTTGTTTGCATGTCATGAACTTTTAATAAGTTGTTCTACGACAAATAAGGACGGAGGAAGAAAGAGAAAGGAAAAGGAGACAAAGTGACAATGAGACGAACGGTAAACGTTGGCTAGTGGACAACAAACAATATGCATATAGCCGCTAGAGCAGAGACAGGAGACGAAGACGGTAGACCAGCGACAAGTGACGAAGATAGAGATTAGGCTATAGACGAGAGACAATATACTATAAACGTATAGACGAGAGACTGACAAGGGGGAGTGAAGGACGGGAGATCATGAACTCTCGATATTGCATATCTACATTTTCAGATTGAGTCATCCTATATTTTCCCCTGTTTTATTGTTTTTCGGGCCTAAGATCTATCAACAACATTCTGAAAGCATTGTGGAAATGTCATAGAAAGATTTAGCTATTATTTTCACCCCCCCCCCCCAAAAAAAAAATTATTCTTTTAAACAAAAAAAAAAAAACGAAATACCTACAAGTATCTATGTGGATATCTTCAATTAAATAAGGCCGTTGAATGCAAAGACAGTCCGGTGAATTCTGTCCCGTTACTCCTTAAATGCACAATAGCCTGTAGGAAAACGGCTGCGGAGAGGCTCGCTATAAATTATTGAAAATAAGATTATTTTAAGTCTGCATAGGGAATAACATTCTGTAGCTAGGAGTGCTTATTGTTTTATACATACATACACCGTCGCGATCTGCATTGAATTCTTCATCCTTATTCTCTCCGCGCGAGATACGACATTTACAATATTCACGCAATGATGCCTGCGTTAGCGTGTGTCTCGTTCCAGTCCGTCAGAGCTCCGCACCGCTCTGACCCCGAGCGGCGAATGACCGGTCCCGGTGTCGCGGCACAGTGGGCGGAGCTTAGCTGCGGCGCAACAGCTGACGCTGCAACGCCATGCTAGCCTCTACCACGGTGCAGAGTTTTCCGATCAATTTTTACCATTACAAGTCAACGACAAGTGCCTTTCATTTTGACATTTTGTTAAAAGACCATATTAGTAAAAATTAGGTAGGCCCTTGAAACACATTGTGTCAAAGTTTGGTTGAAATCAAGCGTATAGGTAACGAGAAAGGGCCAAAAAGGACTGTTCCAGAGGGTCTGAAATGCGTAGTAGGTAAGCATAATTGGTCTGTCATATTGCTTAGGAATATAAAATCTTAATGGCGATTATTGAGGATATGATCTCTGCATTACGGGAATTCACTAATTACTACGGCCCATAGGGGCACCGCCGGAGCTGTTGTTTTACCATCGGTCCCAGGCAACTCCAGGGAGCTGCAGTACCCGGCGGCCAAAGCGGCCACCTCGTCGACTCGCAGGTCCTGTGGGATTCCGTGATGCTTCAGTGCTTCACCCACAGAAGCACGAGTATAGCAGTAGGATGTGGGGTTAGGTGTCTGTCCACCTCTTCCTTTTAGGTACAACGTAATGCAGCGCCTGGTCCCGCCGAAGCTCGGTATCGACCGTGACTTATTCATAACTGGCGGATCCAGGAAGCGGTCTTGGACACTACGGAGGCTTACCCCAAAAAGGTTTCTCCGAATTAATTTAAAAATTCGGATTTCGATTCCTTCCGTACTGCTTGCGTACTGTGAATAACCAACATTTCCTAAGAAAAGCTGTGAAGTTTTCTTTAATTCTCGAAAAGCGATTTCGGGCGCTGCCCCGGTTGTGGGGGAAGACATTTGCCCCAAATGCCTTCCCCTGGATCCGCCAGTGGGTTGCCACACCCCGAGCTTAACTAAAAACGTCTTCAAACCCCACCAGAAACCGATGGTAAGGTGAATTCAAATCCAATAACTCATCTTTGTCTGCCCGCCTAAATATACTACACATGGTACGGCACTCGGCCCTGACGCAGCTTTGAGCCGATCGTGACATTTTCGGCTTTCCCGGCCCAAGCTCGATTAGAAACGTTCTCCTTCCCCACCCGATTGCTGATGTCAATTAAAATTCAATACCTCATCTCTGTCTGCCCGCCCATAACCCAGTCATTGCACACCGTTCAGCGCCCGGCCCCGCCAGAAGTATCCTAGCGCGCTGAGCAGTTGCCTCCAGCCGCGTCATCCCGAGGCCCCGCGCGGCCCATAACTGAATACATTGCGCGAATAGCCGTGTCGCCCCCCTGGGTATGTCAAGCGCGGCGCACCCGCCGCTAACTCACCAAGGTCGACAGTATTCATCTATAAAATTTCAGCTCCAGTTATTGATTCGGTCTACTTGCTAGCAAATGCTGACGTCATAAACCCACTACTTATATTCTCCCGTCAGGGTTGCTGTCTGCTGACCAGGGTTAGGGCGGGTTAGGGGCTATAGAGCCTTGGTCAGGGTCAAGCCCAAGCCCTAAAACATGCCTATCAGTACGGCTCGAGAGCATAAAATAAGTCTGGAAAGGGATTATTTGAGGTCACGTTCCCCAAAACTAACTACCGTCTAGTGTAGGGGAGCGGGAGAGCGGCCGTACCAGCTTGGAGATTAGTTTGAGTCAGTGTCCGTTTTTAGTTTACCTTAGTTTTGTTAAAATTGTACGTGTGGGATATTTAGGCAGGGGTCTGAAAGGAGGCAAGCGCGGCGGGAACCGCACGGCCACATCGGCCGCCATCTTTAGCCTCGAGGCGGCTGATGGGGGCGTGGCCTACTCGGGCGAGGGACGAGACGAAAGCGGGGGCAGGGTATATTGAGTAGCGGGGGAGAGGAGATCGGGGCTCTTGGTGTCTGACCTGATGCGTCGTTAAACAACCAAGAAAACAAACAATCTTGGTGTCTGACTGGCGACTGCCGTCCGGTACGGACATCGAGCCTTGCATCGAGCCCCCGACTGCTCTCTGCTGCTGGCTCACCTGGCTCGAGGTAGGTTCCTGTCACGCAGGGATTGATGCTGGGCTCAAAGCACATCCCATAGTTAGGATAGGAGCACCGGGGTGGAGGTTCGTAGGTAGTTTCGGCGCGTCGGTAACCGTTAGGGTAGTGATAGGGTAGAAACTAGCGGAAACGGAAATAATCGGTCGTCTCGGATCCAATTCAATGCGCAGTCCTTTATGATGTTCGGTTTTACAATAAATGGGGTTTGAATTGACCAGATGCATTTGGAGATGGGTTGAGTCGGAGGAGAACGGAGGTTGAGCGGAGTCAGATTCATTCGGTGCCTAGTTAGTCATTGTGGCTCAGGAGCTTAGCTCCAAACCCAGGGTTCGCTACAAACCGCGTGTGCCCCAAAATGGCGGAGTTATTCACCTGAACCACGATGCATAGTTTAGTACATTTAGTTTAGAGGACAGTGGCCCGGGTGGCAGACGGGTAAAAGGCTGGGAGACGTCCCGGCCGACCACTGATCCTGTAGAGTAGAGTAGAGATCCGGAGGGGAGGTAACGAAGGGCCTACAGGACCGGCCTAAGCCCCCCCACAATAGGCGCGGAAACCGGGGGGCAGCGGGGGCAGCTTGCCCCCCCTCCAACTCAAGGGCCGTGGGGGCGGTGTCCCCACAACTTTGAGACGGAATACCGCACTTTTTTGCAAATGTTTTCTTTTTTGTTGAAAAAGCCAAGGGATGAAAAATAAGTGGCTTAAAACCGGCGTGAACATGGATTTGGGGGTACCCTAGGTTGATCTCTTATTATGGTGTGCCCCCCACTCTGAAAGAAGTTCCCGCGCCCCTGTCCTCCGATGTAGATTACAAAGGTGTGATGGTCTTAGACTCCCAAGGGAGCATCCGCTTTGACTGGCGAGGGGGAGGGGGTAACTACAGCAAGAGTCAAGAGTAAGACTGCTTCATTTTATGTAGGCACTGCATCAGGCGACAGGCGTGCCGCAAAGTCGGGTATCAGGTCTGAGCTACGTTCCCCATGAGTCACGATGCCCCAAAACCGATACGGCCGCCAGTCCAGTCCAGTCCACCAGTCCTATTATCACCACATATTGCTGGGCTCGCTCGATAAGCTGCCGGCACCAACCACCCGTCCGCTACCGGTGAATGAATCGGCCGACACTCAAGGCTGAGCTGCCGGTACTAGCGCCCAGTGTAATCTGCCCAAGAGCTACGCCTGCTGCTGCAAATCAGGAACATAGGGCTATTCAGCCATGTTTTCCAAAATATTACGTCTGTGACAGCGCATAATTGGACACCGGATTTATTTGCTGCATTATTTTACACATCCAACATTTGCACACTGATGTGCATTTTGGTGAACACGACGCAACACAGCTCATCTACTTCATTCCGTCGCAAAACAATGACAATGCAATTGAAAAGTCACAAGCATCTGACACAACAGTTTGATACTGCGTTACTTTTCTTTGGTGCGATGGAAGGAGACGGGTAATGATAAATGATATAAAGGATATGTTGCCCATCGACCGACTGTAACATGGCGTGGTGACTAAAATGCTATGCGGTCTCCAGCTAACAGAAAAAGGTTGCCGCCGGCGATATATCGTGTCACTATGAAGGCACACACTTGATAAAAACTAACTAAAATAAAATCCTTTTTAAATTATCTACAAAACAACAGAAATTACTTCACCAGCCTAAACCGATCCGCATACCGCATTGCGTTTACTGTAACGACAGCAGTTCACGAATCTCGATGATAAAGACACGTGTAACCGCGAAACCATATGTACACTTTCGAGCACCGACTACCACCTTCCCTTATCTCCCGAATGGAGGTAGCCGCAGCCCGCAGATCTCGCTTCACAGCCGCTCAGTTAGCCGCGCTCCGGCGGTGTTCGGCCTTCTCCTCACGGTCCACCATGGAGCTGCGCGCATGCGCAAACGCCGACTCCACGCGGGAGGCCGTCTCGCGCCAGGCGTCTCCGAGGTCGGGCAGGTCGGTCAGGTCCAGCGAGATGTGCGATGACAGCCGCTTGTACATGCTGGTCTCGCGCTTCTCACTGCCGGAGAGACGGGCACAGATGGGCCGTCACAATGACGTCATTGCATTCACCTATTTATTTGAGTCAGTACATGTCGCGCTGTTTTCCTAATTTGCCTGTTGCGAAATTGCTTTGGCAAAACTGATCTTTGAAAATTAAACTTACTTAAGAGAAAAGGCAAGCATGAAAGTCATAAAAATAACTACACTGATATCAAAAACATGATGGGCTGAACAAAGCAAATCAAGCAAGATAACTATAAACAACAAAAGCCAGCCGCGAAAAAGTTATCCAGTTTACTATGGTTGTCAGCACATAGCTTGCCATTGGCAAAAAAATTGAAGCGTGATTCGTTTCTTTGACCAGCTTTCATTGCGTTGGCGAAGAGCATCCAACTGGTACATTATGACCTACAAGTCAATGTGAACCAGGGGTGGATACTTCTGCTGAGCTGGGGTTTCACAAGCGCAGCAAATCCGCAGCGACCTTGACCTCCGCCGTCTATTGCGGCTCCAAGCCAAGCCCGCATGGAATTGGGAAAGCTCGTGCTACCCCAACTCGGCACAATTGTCCACCCCTGATGTGAACTGCCTTTAAAGTTATACAGTAAAGACCTTAAAATGTTGAGAAACTACAGTATAAATCATTGATTGACAGGAAAAGTAATGCAGCAGTGAGCACCCTAAGAAAGTTTTACATACATAGATTACTTATAAATTCCTCAAATATCACATAATATTCGACGATAACAATGTCCTGAAAACGATCAATTAGCATTCGACTTTGAAGATCACCTATAGCTTGCAATTAGCATGCAACAACAACCATAAACGTAAAACAAGTGAATGATGTTGCTAACGGCGGTTGAAAGTTGAAACATGCATTTAAACATGCAAATGTTGTTAAGAACTCAGACGATTAAGCTATAATCTATAAATATGTGAACTGTCCCGTTGATGTTGGCTTTAAAATCAATAAACAGCGTATGTACATTAGCGATGCGATGCCGAATACGGTAGCGCAACTCACCCGTTCAGCTCAGCTACTACCGCGATGGGTCGGGTCTGTCTTTATGTCAATGCTCTGTGCTTCGTCACTGAACAAATGAGGGAAATAATACAGACCAGTGAGCAGAGATTTACGTAAAAGGATCAATCCAACGAGCAACAAAAACAACACAGACATAGACCGTTAAACCAAAATGGCAAAAGCGCATGGAGGGAACAAAACAATACCTAACTATGCGTGGAATAAAAGTGGAAACTGTGATACTGCAACCAATTTAAAAAAGAAATGGAAAATCATAAAAGCAAAATAGAGGTCCGGCATATTGAGATGTTGAACGAAGAACAAAATACATTCTACGGAGGTTGAAAACGTGCTAAGAACAAATAGTCTATAGATAGTCTACGTCTACATAGATAGTCTCTACGATAGTCAAATAGTCTACGACAAATAGTCTATAGAGAACTGCTAACAGACGGAGATTTACACGTTCATCTGTATTTATGAAATATAGTATGAATTTGTCATCAAGCAATACATAATAAATACAATATCATAACAGTGCAGGCTGACTGTTTATCGATCAATGCTAGACGCTAGTGATAAAATATCGTGCATTTGATACATGTAAGGGTTCAATCAGTGTTTCTTATGTTCCAGTAACCTTTTCCGTTTCTCTTCATACAGAAGCTGTTGTCGGAAGAACAGAGAGTTCCTCAGGAGTTCTTGGATGTTCGAGAAAATCGGCTCTGCCTTCTGCATCGCCTTCACAGCACTGAGAACAAAATGAGAAATTAAGATCAGACTTTAGAGTGGTGCAGGTATAAGAAGAACGAGTGGTGAAAGCTCACTGAAAACTTTTTGATAGATATTAGAGAATAGTGAGGTAAAGTGAGAACAAATCCCTGAGACACGCAGTTCACAACAGTAAAACTAAAAACTTCCCAATTTGACGAACGTAATACAGTACCGTACCAAACAATGCCACTAACAAAGGTACGCCGTTGATTATGAGTTGACCCCCGTCGGGCCGTCGCCAGCCGCCGGCGCGCACCGGTGTGGGAGCACTCACTTGATGGCGTACTCGGCGTCGTAGCAGTGTCCCTGGAGCTGCTGGTGCAGCTGCACCACCTCGGCGCGCCGCTCCACGGTCGGCGGCAGCGACTTGCGGATGTGCTCCTGCATCCGGTACAGCGCCAGAGACGGGTCGTTCACCAGAATGTGCATGTTTTCGGAGGCACGCTCCGTCGCTGCCGGAACAGAAACTGAGTCGCAGTTCCTTCCTCTCAAGGAGAAAGAGTCGGAAGCCCTGAGAAACTCTCGATACTGTACTGTAGAATTACCACGGGCCACCGCCGCCAGCCATAATTGGGCTCAAAAGCTATGGAAATATAAGCAATTTGGGCACCAACTCTTGCATGCTGAGAAGTAATGCCCTGAGGTCACTACTCTGTCTGATCTTGAGGTTTGCTGGGCTGGGAGATGTTAATAGGTATGTGTTATTCAATTTCAAATCATAATTTTTAGAATTACATGTTAATTAAAACATAGATTTATGCAGCTTCTCACCTTTCTTAGCTCGAGCATCCAGGTGTGGATCATGTGGAACTGAAAAAGGTAAAATAAACAATTTTATACCTATTTCAAAAAAGGTTAAAATAGGCTGTGATAGGCTAAATAGCCTATCACAATTACATACTTCTGAGTAAGTTTTAAAAATCACCTGTCATTCAATGAAACAGAAATATAGCTCGCGTTTGCCATCCAGATATTCAGGGATCCAGGATCACCGGTAGTTCTTTGGTATTGCAGGGACCATCGATGCAATAAGTCACATTTCTAGAACGCTTTTGTTTCAAAAATGCCCCTTTTACTCATTGCCATTTCCGTTGTGCAAAGCGTCAGCCGTCAGCCTTAAGCACCAAATGATCCCGGTGATCAAGGAAAACTATCCAAATATCCGGATGTTGAGCACACGCATAGATACATACAGGCTGCAGCCCAAAAGTGTCAACAATCAAACTATACGTACACAATACACATGTAAGCTGAACATTGAACTTTGAAGAATGGTTAGGGCAGGGCACTCACCATTTGCTTCCCTGGCATCCATGATTGCGATATAGTAAGTCCAATGTATGTACAGTTTCTCATCTACCAGCCATTTGTTGACTTAAATATGAACCGATATACACAATATAACCGTTTCAAAATGGCAGTATAGCTCAAATGTCTGTATATCTATGGCTCAAATAAAAATAAAAAGCATAAATGCAAAGCACGGGCGGCACGGACACGGCCACAAAATATTTTTTACTTTATTGGTGTTCACTCTGATGTACTATACGCTAATCCTGCATGCGCACAAACTGTTTTCTTCAGGTGTCGTTGTCCGTGAGCATTCTTTACTAAAGTTTTCGAATACCAATATGTAGGAAAAGATGTATTTGTTGCGCTGAGAATGAAAACAACTTATGCTACCATATCACCCTAATAATGCTGCCAAACCTAAAAACATGAAATCCCGTAAATCCAAGTAGTAAAGGAATCTTGTAAATCCCGGCCTAAATCCTTTTCCTCAGCTTGAGAGCCAATATTACTTTTCACTTGCTTTTCACCATAAGGCACAATCACTCATCAGCTGAGATTGTAATGCCGCACATAACTAATTGCAGACTGATTCGTCAAAAAAAAAAAAAAAACCATCAGAAATGGGATCGCGGGAGGGACAAATGGGAAGGCGGAAGGGACAGCTTCCAGATTAATGGAGTAACTATTTATCCACCGGGCAAACGGACACAACAAAAATCCGTATACGCACTCCGAGCCTCCGACGCACGGTAGAATCAAAAGGCAACGTAATAAAACAGGAATGGCATTTATTATCATGGCAGCCGACAACAGCCTGGACCACATTCGAGGTGTCTTTGAAACGACACAAATGACATTAGAAATCCGTTTGGCATGGTCCCAAACTGGCATCATGAACATTTGCTGATCAATGACAATGTTTCATCCCCCCTCCCCGTCCTACGCTTCAGCGCAGCCTGGGACCACCCGCTCTTCACTTGAGCAGGCACCGTAAATGACCTAATGACACTATACGCAATGCCGAATCGTTTCCGCATTATATCTGCATCTGCGCAATTCGGGTTCAGTGCATCGCGGCAGAGCGTCGATCCATGTAGCGTGGCAATGAAATGGACCAATGAGACACGACAAGACCCTCGTCAAGATCTGGCGCCATGCCTCACCGAGAGTTGCCGCAGCGCAGCGCCGTCAGGGCCAGGGGTCACTCCGTCACCCCGCTCTCGCCAAGCCTCCCCCTCGGCGCGGCGCCGAGGGGGGGGGACGCCCCTCCCCGCTGTCTCTGCGAGCCCCGGCGGGGCGGCCGTCACACGGTCAGCTGGCTGACGCAGTGGATCACCTCGTTGTCGCCGCCACACACCAGCCGGTCCTCGCTGACGTCAAGGCTGTTGACGGGCAGCGGGCCGGCCGGCAGCAGCGATAGCACGTCCAGGTAGCGCTTCGAGGCGTCCAGCGTCAGCCACGAGGTCTGCGCGGCGTCCGCCGGCGGCTCTGCCGGACGGGAGAGAGGTCAGATCAACTGGTTTGCGAATGAAACAAAAACGTTGTTATATTTAACCGGACACATCATTAGAGGGACAAACTGCTGTCTGGGCCGAATGCTGCTGTTGATCCGTGACGGCCTGCATGACCCTCCAACTCCACGGAGTCGGTCAAGGCTGCCGTTCCCCAGCTCGGCTGTATGACTAACCCCTGCCGGAGGTGTGGAGGCGCGCGCTCGGCCCGCTGGCTGGGAGTAATACTCACCCCTGCCGGAGGTGTGGAGGCGCGCGCTCAGCCCGCTGCTGGGAGTAATACTCACCCCTGCCGGAGGTGTGGAGGCGCGCGCTCAGCCCGCTGCTGGGAGTAATACTCACCCCTGCCGGAGGTGTGGAGGCGCGCGCTCAGCCCGCTGCTGGGAGTAATACTCACCCCTGCCGGAGGTGTGGAGGCGCGCGCTCAGCCCGCTGCTGGGAGTAACACTCACCCCTGCCGGAGGTGTGGAGGCGCGCGCTCAGCCCGCTGCTGGGAGTAATACTCACCCCTGCCGGAGGTGTGGAGGCGCGCGCTCGGCCCGCTGGCTGGGAGTAATACTCACCCCTGCCGGAGGTGTGGAGGCGCGCGCTCGGCCCGCTGGCTGGGAGTAATACTCACCCCTGCCGGAGGTGTGGAGGCGCGCGCTCAGCCCGCTGCTGGGAGTAATACTCACCCCTGCCGGAGGTGTGGAGGCGCGCGCTCAGCCCGCTGCTGGGAGTAATACTCACCCCTGCCGGAGGTGTGGAGGCGCGCGCTCAGCCCGCTGCTGGGAGTAATACTCACCCCTGCCGGAGGTGTGGAGGCGCGCGCTCAGCCCGCTGCTGGGAGTAATACTCACCCCTGCCGGAGGTGTGGAGGCGCGCGCTCAGCCCGCTGCTGGGAGTAATACTCACCCCTGCCGGAGGTGTGGAGGCGCGCGCTCGGCCCGCTGGCTGGGAGTAATACTCACCCCTGCCGGAGGTGTGGAGGCGCGCGCTCAGCCCGCTGCTGGGAGTAATACTCACCCCTGCCGGAGGTGTGGAGGCGCGCGCTCAGCCCGCTGCTTGGAGTAATTATACTCACCCCTGCCGGAGGTGTGGAGACGCGCTCAGCCCGCTGCTGGGAGTAATACTCACCCCTGCCGGAGGTGTGGAGGCGCGCGCTCGGCCCGCTGGCTGGGAGTAATACTCACCCCTGCCGGAGGTGTGGAGGCGCGCGCTCAGCCCGCTGCTGGGAGTAATACTCACCCCTGCCGGAAGTGTGGAGGCGCGCGCTCAGCCCGCTGCTGGGAGTAATACTCACCCCTGCCGGAGGTGTGGAGGCGCGCGCTGAGCCCGCTGCTGGGAGTAATGCTCACCCCTGCCGGAGGTGTGGAGGCGCGCGCTCAGCCCGCTGCTGGGAGTAATGCTCACCCCTGCCGGAGGTGTGGAGGCGCGCGCTGAGCCCGCTGCTGGGAGTAATGCTCACCCCTGCCGGAGGTGTGGAGGCGCGCGCTCAGCCCGCTGCTGGGAGTAATGCTCACCCCTGCCGGAGGTGTGGAGGCGCGCGCTGAGCCCGCTGCTGGGAGTAATGCTCACCCCTGCCGGAGGTGTGGAGGCGCGCGCTCAGCCCGCTGCTGGGAGTAACACTCACCCCTGCCGGAGGTGTGGAGGCGCGCGCTCAGCCCGCTGCTGGGAGTAATGCTCACCCCTGCCGGAGGTGTGGAGGCGCGCGCTCGGCCCGCTGGCTGGGAGTAACACTCACCCCTGCCGGAGGTGTGGAGGCGCGCGCTGAGCCCGCTGCTGGGAGTAATGCTCACCCCTGCCGGAGGTGTGGATGCGCGCGCTCAGCCCGCTGCTGGGAGTAACACTCACCCCTGCCGGAGGTGTGGAGGCGCGCGCTGAGCCCGCTGCTGGCCGTTGTGCCGATATTCCACTGGCAGACGGAGCCGTCGTGGGCGGCCGAGAACAGACTGTCCGGACAGAGCCGGTGGAACAGCAGGTCGCTCACTGTCGGGGGAGGACAGACACAGTTTGATAAGACAGACACACTCACTGACGGACAGGATAGGAGATGCTAACTGTCCGAACAGAGCCGGTGGAACAGCAGGTCGCTCACTGTCGGGGGGAGGACAGAACAGGCTTACCAAAGGACAGGACGGGACAGACACAGAGCTGGACAAGAGATACAAACACTACCGGACATAACACTCACTGACCGTCAGGCCAGTACACACATCAACGGCTGGCGACGTGAAATGGCACGGATAATACGTTAATACGATATTCGATATCTGCATCTTCGGTCGGTTGATGTCAGACCGAAAGTCACCTCCCTGTTCAATAAAATTGACAATAAATACTACACATCTTAAACAAGTTATACTTGCAGTGTCGTTCAGTGCCGTTAGCTTTGAGTCGTCACCAGGTGCCTCAGCATAATCAAACAACGCTGGGTCACAGTGTTCAAATAGTCGCTTACCCTCGTCGGCGTGCGACTTGAGCTCTGTGACGGGGAAGCGCGGCTGGCGCATGTCCCAGATGCAGATGACGCCGTCTCCGTCACCGGAGGCGAGCACGTGGTACTGGGTGGGGTGGCGCGCCAGCGCCGTCACCGCACACTGAAAAACAAGGGTAACACCAATGACGGCACGACCGCCCAGCGCCGTCACCGCACACTGCAAACAAGGGTCAATTATGGCACACAAAAAAATTGCGGCACAACCGAACAAACGGCCCAGCGCCATCACCGAACATCCATAACTGATGACACAGCCATTACTGAACACTGAAAATATTGATCATGGAACACATCTGAAACAAAAGCCAAACTAAGATCGACCATTAAAACATCGTGCCCCATTGCGCCGGCCACTGAAATCACCGAAAAAAAAACAACAACATGGAAATGCGCATTAACCCGCGCCCTGCTGTGGGGGGGGGGGTGTTTGAGCCCCCCCCCCTTGTGGTTTTTCGCGAATATCTCAAAAACGGCGGCGCGGAGCGCCGCCGTTTTTGGTACACCTTATCATACATCAATTCTACACATGTTGTGAAAATTTCAGACCAAGGTCATTCAAGGTCAGGTCACCAGGTCACTTGAAGTGACCTCACCTCATAAAAAGTTTCAATGTCTGTCATAACTACACCGAGTGACCGATCGCTTTGAAACTTTCAGCGATTGCTGAGAGCAATAGCATGTACAAAATGTATATCTCAGAATTTTGATATCGATGACCTAAGGTCAGGTCAATTTTGCGACCTCCCCATTATAAGTCAATGGGAGAAAATTGAAATGCGCCTCTTTTGGACGTAAGACATTATAAACACTCCCAAACACTGAATTACAAGTGGTTTAGACACACTGAACATGAAAATGGTGTCTGTGACCCCTGTTTATACCCTGAGGTCATCTTAGGTCACGAATGGTATCTAACAGTTTTTCGCAAATAACCTTTGATAGAGGCATGCTAGAGCGATGAAAACGCCTTAGATGTGTTCAGCTCGACGATACGGATCGACTGATATGCAACATGACCCTTTCCGGTCAGGTCATGACCTTGACCTGAGGTCAAATTTTCAAGTTGACCTTTCAAGGTCAAATTATAGTTCATTCGATGCGTCTTGACGAGAGGAACACGATGCCGGTAAAAGTAAGCTCGTACAAGGCTTGGGTCAAAAGGTATTGCAGAAAAACTGTTTCCGAAAAAATCGGCTATTTTTGCAGTTTTTGCCCCCTGCAGGCAAAACCGTTGACGTTAGGTCAAATCTGAGAAAATTGCTCAGAAAGGGCGTTAATAGGGCTATCGAATGCGCTTTTGCGCGGCGCTGTAGCTCTATTGGTTCCCGAGTTATGCGTTGGCTTCTTGGAAATTGTCGACAGTCGACCTGGAAATCGGCGAAATTTTGCCTTCAATGACCTCTGGTGACCTGACCTTTGACCTGACCAAAAAATTGACCAAAGTGATTTCCTCATTATTTTTGACGCTCTTTCGAACGCCGCCTTCCGCGTATCGCTACGTGGCCCAGGAGCCGAGTTAGAAGGGGGGGTGTTTGAACACCCCCCCCCCCCCAGCAGGGCGTGGAAATCCAGGACCCCCAGCCGGGCGCGGGTTAACACCCCGCTCACCTTCCGCGCACAAGCTTCACCAAAATAGTTTCTCAAACATATAATAACAGAATGCATAACATATACCAAGCTATATAGCATGTCTCCCGAATCCGTTCCCCACGTCCCAACTCCCAATTCGGCGCACCAGGCCCAGGACCCTGCGCAGGGCCGAAAGCCCCCACCGTGCGGCCCCTGCCGTCACCGACCTGCTGCTGTGAGGCCATCACCGAGGATGTGGGCTCGTCGCTGTCGGCGCGCAGGTCCCACGACTTCAGCTGGCCGCGCATGTTGGCCGTCACCACGTGCGAGTGGGTCACGTGCTGCACGCGGTACACGCTGCACGTGTCCGCCGCTGCGGGGGTGGGAGGTCACGTGATCAGCACCCGGTACACACAGCAGGTATCTGCCGCTGAGGGGGAGGGGTTACGTGATTAGCAACGCTCCGATAAGGTCCAGCAGGCATACATTGACTCATGTCGTATTGACTCATGGATTTCAAACGCAATTATGTCTAATGCTGAGATAAATGACGAAGGTAATTTTGGGAAGTCATAGTCAAGGAAGTCATGGCAGTCAGAAGAAAGATAAAATAGAGGTCCCACTGTCGTCAGCCGGCGGCGTCTCACCGATGACTCGTCCGGGTTTCTGTGAGTGCATGTTCAGCACCACCATCCTGCCGTCGTCGCCTACCGAGACGAGCTCCTGTTCGAACGCCGAGAGCCAGGTGCACGGTGCCGCGCCGCGCCTGTGTACAGACGGGCACACGGCGGTCACAACGGGAAACACCGGGCGACGGTACTAACACACAGGTACTGAGCGATTGACACAGGACGTAGCGACTAAAAGGTGCTCAGTAGATAATGTATAGGTCATTGCAGCCTAAATTGCAATTAAATAGGTTAGCGATTACGTCCGTACGACACCCTGTCAGTGATACAGCTGGGTGTAAAATCGTCCCAGTGACCCCCTCCCCCCCGGCTTTTCCCCTGTGGCGGTGGCTGTCCCCGCGACCCATGTGAACCACGTTTCGTTTGCCTCTAAATAAACAAAAAGGGCAACGAGCGCGTTTCCGAGATAAGCTTCGGACCTGCGGCGGCAACGCCTGCAGGCCGCTGGACCTCCAGCTACCGCGCGGAGCTAACGGCGCTCGACTCTGCCCTCGCGTCCCTCCTGAGCGGGGGGGGGGGGGGGCGCTGAGGGCGCTGCTCCGCGGGAGGTGCGAATATGTACCGACTCCCAGTCGGCCCTGCGTCGCCTCGCGGAGGGCCCGGCGGCGCAGACGGGTGTCCTGGCGGACAGAGTCTGGCAGAGGCTGCTGGACCTAGCCGACCGCGGGACGCACACGTCCCTGCAGTGGGTTCCCGGCCACGCCGGGCTCCCCGGCAACGAGCTGGCCGACGAAATCGCACGGGAAGCCGCCAACCTGGAGCAGCGTGACGTGCCGATAGACCTCCCGTCAGCAAAAGCCAGGCTGAGGAGGCACGCCCACCGGGAGTGGGAACAGCGGCTGCAACCGACCCGCTACGCCCTGCAGAACGGAGTGCGCCCCCCCCCCCCCCCCGGCTGAGCGCCTGGGACTCTCCCGCCGGGAATGCGCGGAAGCCGCGAGACTTCGTACCGGCCACTCAATGATGGTGCGGGAGTACCGGCACAGAATCGGCCTGGAAGACGACCCCACCTGTCCTGAGTGCGGGCTGGGGGATGAGACGCTAACTCACCTCCTGACCGACTGCCCCGCCCGGGCAGATGTGAGACGAAGGATATTCGGAGATGACGAGCCGGAGATGAGGGAAGCACTGGGAGACCCGACGAAGCTGGTGGTGCTCCTGAAGCGGCTGGGCCGCCTGTGAGGCGTCCCCCCGTATGGCTTCCAGCCAAGGGCCGGAAGCACTTTAACTTCAACTTCAACCCATGTGAACCGAACTGACTCTGATTTGTGGAGGTTTGCATAGCCACCGCCCGTGACCCGAACTTACTCAGTGTGGTGGAGGCCGTACCCGTGATACCCCGTGCAACGAACTGACTTGGTGTGGTGGGGCCTGAAGTCGGTCCCAGCGATACCCCGTGAGGTGAGAATTGGACTGACTTTGTGCGGTGAAGTCGGTCCCAGCGATACCCCGTGAGGTGTGAATTGGACTGACTTTGTGCGGTGAAGTCGGTCCCAGCGATACCCCGTGAGGTGTGAATTGGACTGACTTTGTGCGGTGAAGTCGGTCCCAGCGATACCCCGTGAGGTGTGAATTGGACTGACTTTGTGCGGTGAAGTCGGTCCCAGCGCCGGCCCGTGAAGTGTGAATTGGACTGACTTTGTGCGGTGAAGTCGGTCCCAGCGCCGGCCCGGCTCCAGTCGCTCGGACACGTGACGGTAGAGCGTGACGTCACCGTCCGAGGTGGCCGCCGCAAACACGTCCAGCGAGACATACTGAAACGGAGACATAACAGCTGAAATCTTCACAAGATGGGTACCCTTCCTTAAACGACAGGTAATACACGCCCTTTACGTGCATTACCATGCCATAAGCGATGGCACCAACAACGTTTCTAAACTATCATTTTCGCCAAAAATATTTACCGAAATCGGAGCCCGACCTTTAGGTCATTCACCTGCCCTTAGAGGCTACTGGCTGATCTGATAAATAAAAACTGAGCACCAATCACTGCGACTCGTAATGGCTAGCATACTCGTTTTATTCAGTGCTTCCTCTAGCTTAATTAGGGTGAAACAGCGAGAGATTTGCACTCCATCCCCGTTTGATAAAATTGAATATATAAACAAAATATCGCAGAGGAGTAGGTTGAAAACCGATAATTCCTACAAGTATCAAGGCAGTTGGCAATTTTATGATAATGATACAGCAATGAGCATACGTCGAGCCACGGAGGTAGTGTGGCTGGTGCCTGCTGAAGTGTCTGTACTCACAGACAGACAGTTGACGTCTGGTCGGCAGGGGAGCCGGTGCAGGCAGCGCGGATCGTCCCCAGAGTCAGACCACTGCCACAGCTGCAGACAGTTCTCCTGGGGGAGGGGAACACACAGAGACAGAGTTACATGAGAGTGCAGGAATGCTCGTAACAACCCTAAAGCAGCAAATTTTGAATAGATCCTGGCATTACACAGGCCCACTCCCCTACCCTTACAGACGTGCATTTGCCTGCATTCATGTACTTATTCTTAAAATATTCCACTTTTGGGTGGTATTTTGCACTGTTAACAAGAGTTACCTTTCTAGGAGCATGTTGTGAGGGGCTCCACATTTACTGAAAATTGATTATGCAGATCCACCCCAGCTCTCTGCTTATGTAATTATTCATCTTTGGGAATGTTCATACTTATTTGGTACTCTTAATAATGGCCTTATATCACATTAACACTGATGGAAGCAGTACCTAGGGTATCTTGTTTGACAATAAATTAGTACCTACCTACAATGGTTAAGCCACAATGCATGATTTCGAAAATTGATAATAACCATGATCACTTTAATGACATATTAGGGAATATGTGGAATTTTATCTTTGAATAATATGATTTCAATTATAACAAGTTAAATGTCATAATTTAATTTAAACTACCTATTAATAATTTATAGAGTGGCACTTTAAACCATTTACAAGTTAATTGCATGATACATTTACACCTAACATTGTATGTTATGATAGTGGATATACTGTACCTCATCATCCCAGCTTCCAGAGACAAACTGGCTGGACGGTGTCAGAGTGTCTTGTGGTGTAGGACGCCATCTCACACAACTGATCTTGGTGGACACAAATGTGTTGATTCTTCTTATTCCTTCTGACATAATTGGATATCTGAAAAAATGCACAAAAATGTACATAAATTAAAAGTAGATAGGTATCTAGTATCTACCTTCAGCCCTACACAAAAAGTGCAATGCCTGCTTTCTGAGTAATTACCAACACAACGTCCAGAAAAATGCTTCCAAAAATGGACAGCCTAGTAAGCCAATTTTATTGTGTTTACAGAAATAATAACCTGCTTGCGTCTTTATCTTAAATTGCGTGGAATCTGAAAACAGGTCGCCTGCCGCCTGAGGCGATTGGATCAAGGACCTTGAAACTCGCTTGGCCTAATCATGTGACAATTAGCCTGTTCAGGGCACAAAGAGGAGGAGAATATCCCAATAATCCTGTGACTAAATATGCCGTCCGGCGTTCCGTTTTCAGATTCCACCTTAAAGGGACCCTCCCACCTTAACATTAGTTTTGAGTTGAGATAGCCAAGTTTGCGGCCAGGCTCAGAAACCACCATTTATCCCGGTCGCAACCCCCGCAGCTTTATGGTGTTCAAGAAATTTCTTCCCTTTACTTGCAGGGTGGGACCAGCGTGGTCCCTATCGGCTATCTCTTAACCATTACAGGAATCTGATGACGTCATCAGGCTTTCAAACCTCCGTTAAATGTTTGACTAAAACATTTTGTAGCACGCGGTGGTATATGCTGCTTTGAGCGCAACAAATGCCGCACTTTCAAATAAAGTCGCTAAGAACAGAGGAGATCCCAAAAAGTAAACAAAAGTAAAAGTCTAATATCTTGAAAACCGGTGAATATTTTTCGATGAAATTTGGTAGATATTCGTTTTTGCTCTTTCTGAACCGAGCGACATCACTTTCATGTCAATTCATTAACTTTTTTGAAGGTGGGAGGGTCCCTTTAAATTGAAATGGCTCAAGCCGGCCAAATCAAATAACCATACCTATATCTCAACATCACACTATGGTACCCTGTCTACAAAAATACTTTTTAGTACCGCCACCCACATTACACAGAGCCTTTTCCATTAAAGGGTAAGTGCTAAATTACCAAGTTGAAGTTACCTACTGACATAAAGACACTATCTCCTGAAGTCCCTCTAGCTCACAACAAATCCCCCGGGAGGACTTCAAAGAATTTCATGTTCACCAATTCTCTCTATATGCTATCTCAGCACATGAGAACAACTCGTTCCTTTTGAAATTTCCATTTTCTATAAACGGCCTTACTAAATTTGATGAAAATTATTGCCTTTTTGAAATGATCCGTTTCCAATGATGCACGGTATATAGAGAACTCAATGATGGAAAATATCGACAATAAGTATACAGCGCTAAAATATTTTTAAGAATGTTCATAGAAAATAAACGAGACAAGCAAAGCATGACTTTTGATTGGACAAGTCAGACCGAGGTCAATAAGCGAGGACAACTGAACACTATATTTTTGTAACAAACGCGCTATTTACGAATCACTTAGAAAGAGAAGTTTCTTTTTATTTTTATTTGCAAGTTATTTTGTCATGTTACAAAAGCCTTTTTCGAATTTTTTAATATTTCAAAATGAAATTTCGTGGGAAAATAGGTATTCAAAACAAAAAGAAAAAAAGAGAAATCCACTGAACGCACCTCTATGATGCCCTTTTCCGGTGGTGAGCCCTCAGCCGAGGCTACTGTCCGGCGATTCTGTGAAATTCGCCATGGTATGTGCATAACGCGTCCGGTATTGTGAATAAACATAGGTGGATGAAGCTGCTCTTCGATCGTGTACTTTATTTTATTTAACGTTCAGCTTTACCGTTGTATTTTTAGTTCGACGTGTGCGCCGCTTTTGAAACGTCATGCTGCATAGAAACAATGAAGCACCGTTAGCATTGCTGTTTAGGATTTAAGACATTAGAATGTCAAAAGCATGTTGTGCCGAAAATATAGATCTTGTGGTAAGAGAATATTCCTATTTAATTTGTAGGTGACTGTAGTATTCATATTGTATATAAATTACGCAGTACATTTTGAAAATTTATAATAATTCTTTAACTGCTGTTTTTTTCCAGGCTTTCATCAAGCTTGTCAAGAACAAGGCCTACTTCAAGAGGTACCAGGTCAAGTTCAAGAGGCGCAGGGAGGGAAAGACTGACTACTATGCCCGTAAGAGGTTGGTTGTTCAGGACAAGAACAAGTACAATACTCCCAAGTATCGCCTGATCGTCCGCTTTACCAACAAGGACATCATTTGTCAGGTCAGTCCTTTTTAAGAATTTATGTGCCAATTGGTGAATGCTTTATAAAAGATGACCACGATTGTAAAGGTATTTGAATTTACCAACAGTCCTATAAGGTGCAGTAGGTTTAATGTAATACATTATTCAGTAAAGCAGAAGAATGGTAGAATGGGAATACCTAGGAACCTACAACGTATAATTTCTGCTGTTGCGTTTTTGTATCAAGAGCACCATAATTGTAGATTAGACCTTTTCTGAACAAATACCTGAACTTGTGGGCACTTTTTGATGTGTGTTTAAGGTTAATGGTCTACAATTATATGCAGGACAAATTACATTGTAGGAAGTGGAACCATGGATTATGCCATCTGCGATGGCAATGGCCTAATTGTCACACCTGTGGCAGGTGTTGGTCCTACAACTAACAGCTGTGTCTTGTGTGGATGGTCCTGGGGCTGCTTTGGAAGGCAGATGATTTTATGGCCCCAGGCTAGTCAAAAATGTTAAGTGTTCAGCTTATGTAAATTCAAGCTCATGGATTTTGCCAAGTCTCCTGCCATGGTATTAAAACGTGCGACTGATATTTACCTCAAAATATGATTGTGGGCTATACACCTTTGCATGTGTCCAGTTCCTGTGTTTGACTGTGAAAACACAGGAACTGGACTGTGTGATTGACTTGACTGTGTGAATGAATAATGAAATTTAACTTCTTTTCTGGGACCAAAATTTAAAGTAAATATTTCATTACTGCCTTTCTTACATGCAGCATTTTGTTGAAACTAACTAACCTATCTGATTTTAGGTCTGGCTAGTTTATCACAGATCAATGAATGTTGGGTTGTCGTAACATGCAAGGGCCCTATTCAGCTAAAAATGTGAACTAAGGGAGTCACTTTGGTATTAGTATATATAAGGTCCGAGTGGCGAACCGATTATGAAAAGCATACTTTACGATGCATTTTGACCTCCTCATTTCATATCTGATAGTTATTCCTTCTGGAACCAAGTATCAAAGCACCTATGAAATACTTACAGTTACCGGAAATCGCTACCGCACTCCACACCAACTCCACACTATCGCAATGTGCCGGGCGGCAATTACTTGCGCAAAGCTGGCCAAGGTCAAGTAAATCAAGGATGATATCTAACAGTTGCTATTCAACTGTGAATAATGACGTCATAATACTTCTCGCGGCGAAGCAGCGCAGTGCCGAAGGCAATGCCTTAGGAGAGATTACAGGCAAGAGTAAATCAAATATTTTTAGGTTAAGTGGTTATGTATCTGGCTTCAGGCCGAAGGCCTGAAGCCTGATGCATGACCACTTAACCTAAAAATATTTGATTTACTCTTGCCTGCAATCTATTCCTGCAAGTAACTTTTTCCTTATCCCCGGTAGGCAAACATCAGTAGGTTAGGTCAGGTTAGGTTAGGTTAGGTTAGGTTCCTTTTTTTGCATTTATGACGTCACTTTCATCACACCATTCGTATCGTTTTCTTTTTCCCCACCCAAAACCCCTGTTCCTAAAATTTCCCCTGAAATGGCAGCAATCCATATATGGCAGCGCTACAACGCCCACGTTTTTCATTCGTCGCGTGTTAATGCCGCCGGGTGGTATCGTAGTGAAATGAGTTGGTGATTTGGTGTTTTTTCCACGTTTCCAGTACATGTAAGTATCATTTTTGGATTCAGGATGTCAAATAATGCAAGAATGTGAAAACTTTATCTTTTAACAGGCACTCGGACCTAATGTATACTTTTACCGTCACTTTTTTAGAAGAACATAAGCAGTAAAAACCAGGAACATATGGATCTTCAAGTCATTTCTGCATTTTTTTTTTTTGCAAAATTGAACATCTGAGGCAAGTTCTGCTTACACGAAAATCGCCAATCGCCATCCTTGGTTATTTTAGCGCAAAGTCGCCGATGAGTTTCGCCAGTCACGTGAAAAAGTTGATCATTGATGTGAAAAATAATGGAGACATCCTAATATCTTCGCTTCTGTTGAAGTTGAAAGGAAATTGCCACTTTTGACCTTCGCCCGTATTTGGGTTTGCCAGCCGCGAACGTATAGGGGGGGGGGGGAGGGGGGTCTGTTGGACCCCCCCTTGCCGTTCAGCCCCTGATCGAGCTAGAGCTTTGCGAAAAAACGAGCGTGTTACCCATGACCAGAGGAAGCCGATGATACCTAATTTCAAGGACCAAGGTCCTAGGTCATCCTAGGTCATTTTTGAACTTCCAGGTCAGGCCAATGACCAAAAAGTCTGGAAAATCGGGATGTTACATTTTCGTATTGTTAGTTTTTTTCGGGGTGCTGATCACGAATTTCATTTAAGTTATAAGCACAGCTGATGTATTTGTGCATTTAGGCCAGGTCTGGTCAGTTGAACCAGTAGGCGTCATGCCGGGTACTCGTAGTAGGTGTCAACCATCACTGACGGCTTAGTAACATGTTACGAAGGCACCAAAACTAGTTCTTAAATGTTCAAATTGTTTCTAACTTCGATATCAGTTCCAAAACTAGCCTAGCAACATGGTTAACTCGAAAAAGTGAACTAAGGTCATCAGAGGTCAGTGACCTGACCTGACCATCACGTGACCTTGACACCCACCAGCATGCATGCATGGGACCAGCACCATTTTACATGTTTGAACGCTTCAAACTACAAAAACACAGCAAACACGCGGATAATGTGAGCCGACATACGCCGAATCGCGATTTAGGCCAAACATGGTCTCGAGAAATAGGTCACCGGTCCAAGGTCATTTGGGTTAGGGTCATGTAATTTTCAGGGTACGTGTAAAATTGATTAACCCGAGGGTACTGAAAGTGTCGTCGCGATCGACCGCTTCTTACGCGAGTTATTCGCGAAAAAACACAGTGGGATCGTTCGACCCCCCCCCCCTTCCCCGCTATCCGTGCGATGGTTAACGTGGGGTTTTGAACTGAACTAGCAGTTTTGTAGCTTGGGCCGAGACCAGCACAAATCAGGAGCTTTTCCGGCCCAACAATCACCCTAGGAGATTTGGTCTTTCTCGTTTCGAAATCCTTGCCTTGTGCAGGAATTTAGTGCCTTACGAAAGAATGCCAAGAATGCAGCCACCTGTAGCAGAGGCCTGCGTCAACCAATCAGCATGCAGTTGGTTTTGAGCTACGCAATATGATTGGAACTGTCGTATTGTCGATTGCTCCGGATCAAAGCGTTGTGAATGTCACAAAATACGCCATTTGTTGTGGTTTGAGCGAGCTCGTAAATAAGCCCGACAGATAGCGAGGACGTGTGTTCGCTGCTTTATTGTAGGGCTTGACCTTTCCTGTCTAATGAGACCCTGCAGAGCCGGAAGAGTAATAAGAATGATGGGGGCCGGGGCGACATTGGTCTGGGCGGCTATGCCGGTACGCCGCTGGTGCTGAGTCTGTCGGTCACTCCATCACGCGAGAGCGAAGCTGTCGCATCGGAACTACTCACGACAAATGAGACCGCCCGGCCAGGATCGGGGAGGTGTGGAGGAGATGGCCTTGGTCCTGTCCTGCAATGTCTCACATCGAGACTCTGGAGATGCGTTATATGCAGCCTCGACGTGGGCCGGTTGGTGGCGCTAGCTGTCGCCGGCGGAAGGCAGGTGGCTCCCGTGACACGGAACTAAACGTGTGACGAGCGGCCATTCCCAGTTGACTTGTCCAACTGTCAGCAACAGAGTGCATTGATGCTTCCTCTGATAACGGTGTCTGTGTTTTCCGTTCGGCAGGTAGCGTACGCCCGTCTGGAGGGAGACGTGATCGTGTGTGCCGCATACGCTCACGAGCTGCCCCGGTACGGCGTCAAGGTCGGGCTCACCAACTACGCGGCTGCTTACTGCACCGGCCTGCTGATCGCGCGCCGGCTGCTCAAGAAGATCGCCCTCGACACCGTCTATGAGGGCAACCAGAACGTGGACGGCGACGACTACCTGGTGGAGCCGGTGGACGACGGTCCGGGCGCGTTCCGCTGCTACCTGGACGTGGGTCTGGCGCGCACCACCACCGGCGCCAAGGTGTTCGGTGCCATGAAGGGCGCCGTCGACGGCGGCCTGGACATCCCGCACAGCAACAAACGCTTCCCCGG